GGGAAATTGGTTTAATCCTGTGTTCATATTTTCTAGACATTTAGGAACTTAACAAAACTGGTTCATCTTGTCCTGTTTGTTGTGTTCGTATCTTGCTAACTCTGCACTTCGTAATGGTACTTAAGTTGTATAAGATGGTTCCATTAATTGGCCAGTGATTGTTGTGGTGTTTAACTCCCGCGGGCCGCACTTTCAAGGCGATTAAATTGAGCGCGAAAACTTCCTCTGCTGATATTGAGGGTCGTGAAGTATATATACAGTGTAGCCAATTCAGCGAGCATTATCATCCACGTGCCTTTATACCTTGCAAGCTTAGAGGGATTTCTTTCATTTTTTTAATGCTTTATGGCTTGTGTATGAATGAATCTAGTTAAGGGTATTACTTTAACACCTTAGCTAGTTGTTAAAGCATTAGTAATATAAGATCACATGAAGATTAGACATCCCCAGCTTATTTCATCTGAGGATTAGACGACCCTAACACTACCTGGGGGAAGGATTAGGTTATGGTATAGGTTAGCGTTAGGTTAGGTTAGCGTTAGGTTAGGTTAGCGTTAGGGTGGTTAATCTTCAGGTGAAATAAGCCAGACGTGATTTAGTAAAGTGATATTTCATTCACTCGAATACTGAATAAATTTGGTTGATAAATATTACTAAAGCGAAATTTGATTTAATCCAAGAAATGCCATTATTTTAAGCCGTCGTCTTCAACATTATCAGAATCGTCGGGTGTAGCGTGTTTAACATTGTCTTGTGAGGTTAAAGGTATAAACTTGACATTAACTTTGAGGAGATTCTTGTGGTAGGTGTTGTGTTATGACTGGTTTTTGTGGTAGGTGGCGTGCCGTGTGTGTGTTGACAAGTCTTAAACGCCTCCAACTGGCTCAATACATTGTGTGCGGGGCGGCGACTTTCTTGTGTACGTTCAAGAGTGAATAAACAACGCTTAGAGATCGATACTTCCCGAGGTTTAAATATCACGTTTGTTGTTTTGGAGAAGAGTGGAAGAAACGAATGCAAATTAAGTTTTTTATTGTTAGTTTTAATTACGTTATTGTTGATGTAAATTTTGGCTTTATTTTTTTATATCCAGGTTATAATAACGTTATTGTTTGGTTATTAAACAACATGGTATATGACACAGATTTACTCGCCAAATTTCATGTATATATATATATTTTAACTTTCACATGATATAAACCAAGCTAGTCAGAAACACTTTATTTTTTATTTTATTTTATTTTATTTTATTTTATTTATATTTTTACACGAACGAGTACATAACATTATTTGATATGAAAAAAAATAAATAAAATCGTGTCATTTTTTTTGGTTCTCAGTTCAGAGTTGGTTGAGAAAGGAAGCATTTGGTTGGAGTTTATTTAGCCAGAGAGAGAGAGAGAGAGACAATCACTTTATTATTGCAATCATTCATCATGCCGACGAGATGAATAGCATTATTTGACTTACTCGGCGCCCCCAAAAAGTGTGCATCAGAATTTTTCTAATCGTAATGAATAATAGAACAGACGAATATAAAGCGTGTTTTATTTAATTTTTTTTACAAGAGTTTAAATCACATCTTTATTTCAATTACCACACGAAGAAATGAATAACTATGCATTACATTATTCATTTCATTATCAATATAGAACAGGTGAATAATAATTGGATTTTATTTATCAAAAACGTTTCAATGGCGAATTTATTCCATTTACGGTGATATGGAACTACAAGAATTCTTAAGGTTTATTCGGAAGGAAAAAAGATGAAATATTCGATGTTTTTGTTATATATTTTCATTACATAATGGAGTAAGGAAGGTAGAGCAGGGGCGGGGGTGTTATTTGGCCTCAGTGAGCAAATGTGAAGTGAACGAAGGCCATTAGATGAATTGGTAACCTGTCCGATTATTGCAATCAACACAGTTTTCACGCTGTCGTCTCTTCCAGGTGGTTGCAATGACGGGCCTGCTGCTACTCGATGTATAAAAAGCGACAGGGTGATTGCAATGACGGGTTAAGTTCTTATCATAATGGTTCAGTTTTGCAATAATGGAAATATTTTTTTGTAATAACACGTCAGGATTCTTATAATGACGACCTTGATTCTTGCAATAACGGACCAGGTTATTGCAAGAGCGGTTAATTTTTTTCTGCAATAACCGCCCACAACGAATTTCCACTATTATATTCTTAGTAAATCACAACCAAGCATTCGGGTGAGTGGGTAGGTGGGTGGGTGGGTGGTTGTTGGTGTGGGTGGTGTGGGTGGGTGTGGGTGGGTGGGTGTTCTAGTATATATCGAGTTAACTTATTGGGATAGTGTGACCTCGAAGGCGCCCCTGAGCTGCTATGCTATCATTCTTTTGATGAAGAATGACTTAACACAATCCCCCATTCCATCTTATCTGACGGGTGTGGGAGGAGGAGGAGGAGGAGGGAGGGTGAGGAGGAGGGAAGAAGAGGAGAAAGAGGAAGGGAGAAGAGGAGGAAAGGAGAAGGGGAAGAAGAAAGAAAGAGGGGAAGAAGATCAACAAAATAATATCGCTTCTTAGGTAATACTCCACTGTGAAACCGCTTCTATCCGTCTGCCGTAAGCACAGCCGACTCCTCCATCCGGTAAACGAAGACACAGCCGAGAAACAGCCGTGGGTCTAGAAATTTGTGCGGATGGGACCGTTATTTTCGTTACAAGTTTGATTTATTCCGAAAGCCGTTGTTGACTTTGCATTTCGAAGTTATTTATATTTGTTGTTGTTCTTTTTTTGTGGTTTGTTTACGTGTTCCCAGGAGGTATTTTGAAAGATGTTTTGTTTTGTTGGTGTTGGTGTGTGTGTGTGTGTGTGTGTGTGTGTGTGTGTGTGTGTGAATTGATTACCTATTATAACGTTGTGTTTAAGAAGACAAGTAAGAAAAATTCCCTCTCCATTCTCTCTCCCCCTCTCTCCCTCTCTCCCTGGCCCCTCACTCACACCAGAAGGACGAGGTAAAACTTGGTGTGGCTACAAACTCCTTTTCCCGTGTCTTGGAATTTCTGCCACACGACAAACTTCCCCTTCCACCCACATCCCTCCCAACCCCACCCTCCCACATCCCTCCCACCCCACCCTCCCACATCCCTCCCACCCCCCTTTCCCTCTCCCTCCCTCCCTCCTACACACGCTTGGGTCAGATTCTTGAACGGTTGTAAGTCAGGATTCCCTTCCCTTAAATTTTATATCAGTGCTCGTACATGTAAGAAGATCAGTGTTACAAAGATGAGTTAACACACGAACGACGTCTGTACATTATTAAGCTTCTATGGAGATTAAATAACCGGTTCTTTATTATTATTATTATTATTATTATTATTGTGACGTCTTGGAGGAAAGTAAGGGGGTTGAGGGGTGGGGTTAGGGGGGTTGAGGGAGGGTTAGGGGGGGTATAAGTTAACACACGAACCTTTGAGGAATTAGACGCTGGGGAGTGAAACATCAGTTGGGAATCAATGAACAACTTTTCTCACAGCTGCTTTAGATTCTTCCCCCCCCCTTCTTCTCTCTCTCTCTCTCTCTCCTTCCTCCCTCCGTCAGATATCTCCCTCCCTCCTCCTCCCTCCCTCCTTCATTCAAATATCTTCCTCCCTCTCTACCTCTGACATCTCCTTCACTCTCTCCCTCCTCCACCTTATCCCATGCATAACTAAATACCTACTCCAATATTGATGAAGGGGAGACGGAAACGTGCCTTTATTTATGTACAAGATATGACGTATTGATGAACACTGATCCTGGGGGGTTGATTGTGCTCTGTTATGTGTACAAGGTAAGGTGTACACTGGTAATGAATAGAACTTGAGTCATGGTATAGTTTTTAAAGTTCTGTACTTGTATTACTTGTATTTGTACATGTTCTTGTGTGTGTACTTGTAGTGTATTTGTACTTTTAATTGTATGTATATCTGTACTCGTAATTGTACATGTATGTATGGTTGTATGTATACCTGTACGTATGATTGTATGTATACCTGTACCTAACCTAACCTAACCTAACCTCTTATCAAGTAGTTGGAAGAGTTTGTGGTAGACATCAAAAGGTGTTTGAGGGGTGAAATATTTGTTTATGAGATACTGAAGCTTCCTGAAGTTGATAGAAAAATATGCCAGCAGAATACCTTAAAATATTCTAAAAATGGAAACTTGTTAACGTTGGAGGTATAGAGGAGGAGGAAGAGGAGGAGGAATAGAGGAGGAGGAGGGGAGGAGGTATAGAGGAGGAGGGAGGAGGAGGGAGGAGAGGAGGAGGAGGAAGGGAGGAGGAGAGGGAGGGAGGAGGAGGAGGAGGAGGAGGAGGAGGAGGAGGAGGGAGGAGGAGGAGGAGGAGGAGGAGGAGGGAGGAGGAAAAAACAGAAAAGGGATAGTAAAGAATAATAATATAGAAAAAAAGAAAAAATGATGTAGAAAAAGAAATGATAGAAGTAGAAGGTGGAAGAGACAGCAAGATGATGATGATGATGACGATGACGATAATGATGATGATGATGGGAGAAGAAAAAGAAGGAAGAAGAAGAAAATACGTGAAAAATGAGAAGAAACAACCCAAGACCACATTACAATCCCGTGGTTAGCGCCAGAAGCTGTTCAACTCCCCCCATAACCACTCGTCGTATCTTCGTATGGAACTTGGAGATTTGTTGTAGCATTTTTAAAACTCTTGTGAAATCTTGTTCGTCTACTGAGAAACACCTTGGGGCGGTGTGTGTGTGTGTGTGTGTGTGTGTGTGTGTGTGTGTGTGTGTGTGTGTGTGTAGAGGTAACAGATAATTTCAGGATAAAGAAAAATAAATGCAATATATACTAACAACTGTATTCAGATCTAGTGGTTTCGGATTAACCTAACCTAACCTAACCCACCTAACCATGATGGACGAAGGGTATAGTGGTGGAAGAATGTTAAGGAATGTGGAATGATGGAAGGGTGTGGAGTAATGAGGAGTGGTGGAAGTTTGAGTAGGAATATTTAGTGGTGGAGGAATGTGTAGTAGGAGAGTGGAATGGTGGAAGAATGGGGAGTGGTGGAAGAAATAGCACAAGTCTGGAAAGAAGAGAGACGGAAGGCGAAGGCGGATTCCGAGAAGCTTAAATGTTCTGAGGAAGACGACGATGACGACGATGACGGAAGAGACGAAGACGACGATGACGAAGACGAAGAAGAAGAATGAAGGTATATCAGAGAGAGAGAGAAGTGTCAGTAACAGGCGAGACAAAGACGGAACAGAGAGAGAGAGAGAGAGAGAGTAACAGGTGAGACAAAGACGGAACAGAGAGAGAGAGAGAGAGAGAGAGAGAGAGATAATAGTAACAGGTGAGACAAAGCCGGAAACAAGAAGAGAGAAGAATGACTGACCACCTGTCAAAAGCTGGACAAAGGGAGAGAGAGAGAGAGAGAGAGAGAGATTCCTAGACAGACAAAGACAAACAGACTAAAGACAGAAAATGACTGACTGAGTAAGTGGATGAGTGACTGTGTGTGCCCAAGTAGTAAGTGACCGCCTGTCAATAACTGGACAAAGGCACGGACAGACAGACAGACAGACAGGTAGTGACGGTAAGGTAACTTTGGACAGGGTATTACAGCAGGATCCAACAAGAGCCTCCCTGATACTGTATTGATCAGCAGGAGCGGGGTGGTCCTGGCTGGGTGGGCGGGCGGGCAGGCGGGCGGGTGGGCGGGTCTCTCTCGTACTCTTGGCCCACCCCTGGCAAAGCTTATACGTCCTAACCTGGGCGGGACACACACACACACACTTGACCTCCTACCTCCTGACATCTTGACCTCCTACCTCCTGACATCTTGACCTCCTACCTCCTGACATCTTGACCTCCTACCTCCTGACATCTTGACCTCCTACCTCCTGACATCTTGACCTCCTACCTCCTGACATCTTGACCTCTTACCTCCTGACATCTTGACCTCCTACCTCCTGACATCTTGACCTCCTACCTCCTGACATCTTGACCTCTCATGGATAACCGCCTTTTATATCCTTGACCTGTAAATTATGTGTAATGTATGTTAGGTTTGTCGGCAGATGTGTATAGTGTGTAGGTTTGTATTCAGTCAGATGTGTAGAGTGTATAAGCTTGTAATCAGTCAGATGTGTACAGTGTGTAGGGTTGTAGTCAGATATGTACACTACGGAGAGTAATGGCGGCACCCCCAATCCTCAACGGTAACTTTATGATAGTTACCACCAAGTAATTATTCTAGGGCTGTGATCTCATTAGTTTTTACGGCTCTCTGGTTAATTAAGGACTTCTTGGCTGTTGGCTTGTATATAACGTATTCGGGGTTAATATTTTTCGTGTTATTATAATTTACGATATAAAAATAAACAGGAACTTTAAAACCAACAAGAATAAAGTTGTTATTATTGTGTAGATTTTTATTTTCGTCATGATCAAATTTTATTCCATCTGATTTTTGGATTCATGTTTTATTATATGTCTTAAAATATAGTAAATATTTAGGGTTCTCGAATAAAAAAAGAAATAAATGACCCTATATACAGTATACGGTAGGTGAAAAGTTATATAAATTTGAGAATGTATATATGATGCTGGTATTATATAGTCTAATATAGTTATATAAGATTATGAAAGTTTGGATAGTTTGTATAATTATTTCTGTAGTTAAAGTTGAAAAAAATAGGTTTAATATTGTTTTGTCAGTAGTAAACAATTATTGACGTTTCATAAAATTTTGTCTTGAGAGAAGCTAACAGGGCTACTTTTCATATCAGTTTTTATGTAATGAAACTAGTAAGGCTACATTTCATAATTTTTTTTTCTGTAGTGAAACATTAAAATAAACCAAGACGCACTCACACCATGAATCAGTGGAAACTTAGTTCGAATCCCCAACTGCCTCGCTATCCGCCGGAACTGTAAATCTAAGAACTCGGGGAAATTTAACCACAACACAAGTCAGAACTAATTTTTTGGCCTTTCGCTACAGTTGCTGAGGGTGGTGTGTTGTGTGAGTGTATTAGTGTACAGGACAGCACAGGACAGCACCCGGCAGCTTGCTCGAGACATCCTCCACCCCCCCTCGCCATCTTTCGTTGTTGACTCGAACATTGAATGAACCAGTGAGCCTTATCTCTCTCTCTCTCCTTCGCATTCTCTCTCTCTAGCCAATGATTCTCTTTCGTTATAACCAGCGATTCTCTCCTCTCTCTTTTTCTAGCCGACGATTCTCTATCTTTCTCTCTCTTTCTAACCAGCGATCCACTCTCTCTCTCTCTCTCTCTCTCTCTCTCTCTCTCTCTTTGCCTTGTGTGGATTCAAGTGTGTTTGCGGGTGTATAATGGCGGCTTTTTAGACCACCAGGAGTAAATCAAATCATTCTGAATGTTAGCGAACGTTCGGTGTGTTGTAAAAGTAAACACTCGAATGTTGTAAGAGTAAATGTTTGAATGTTTTAAAAGTAAACGTTAAATTAAAAAAAAGTCAAAAGCTGTAATATTTTTAAAGAAAACTACTATATTTTTTAAAGAAAATTTGAATATTGGAAGAAAAAGATTAAATAAAATATAAGTATTTTGAGTCTCTGAAATTACAACTTGGAAATATTATGAAAATGAACAGAAAACTGTAATATTTTTAGGCCGTGTATTGTGTCAAAGTATTCTAGGAAACAGCAACACAACAACAACAACAACACAACAACAACAACAACACAACAACAACAACAACACAACAACAACAACAACACAACAACAACAACATATGGTGCGCTATAGGTTGATGTTAACACCCTGTACAAAAAAGAACGCTTTCTGATGGCGTTTTTATTGCGAAGGAGAGAGGGAAGGAGGAGGGAGCGAGGGAGGAGAGGGAGGGGAGGGAGGAGGGAAAGGAGGAGAGGGAAGGAAGGAAGGAAGGAAGGAAGGAAGAAGGGAAAGGAGCAAGCGAGCGAGTAAAGGTGTTTAACCAAGCGGACTGGGGGTAACTTATCGTATACGCAACGGACGAAAATGGGGGGGGGGGAACTAGGTAACAGTAAATCAGTCAGAAATAGGTAGGACTAAGCAGGCGTGAAATTGGTTTTATAGCCTGTAGTAAATTCAGGTTGACTCAATTTCGGATGGTCATAGAGTGTGTGTGTGTGTGTGTGTGTGTGTTTGTTTGTTTTGTTTTTCTTATGATTTTCTTTTTTTTTCCTTCGACACAAATTCTCGTAAATGTGTTCCAGAAGATATTATAGAATTATGTAATTTAAACACACACACAAACAAGCGCGCACACACACACACACACGCACAAACAAGTGAACAAACACACACACACACACACCCCGACAGCATGACAGAGAGAACAGCTGATGATAATTACTTTCTCTATCTCATTTCTCTATCTCTCTCTCTCTCCCCGACAGACGGAGCAGGGAGGCATGGCTGTGACGTCATACTCCCGAGGGCGTCTGGGGCCGGCTCGGGTCACTCTCCTGGGCGGCCCCCACCCACCCGCCCATGGCTGGTGGACGGCCTACCACTGGGTGAGTGTTTGTCTCTCTCTCTATTATTCTCTCTTATTTTGTCTCTGTTTCTTGTGTTTTATTTTTCTGTCATTTCCTATTTTTTCTTTATTTCTGTTTGTTTTATGTGTTCATTTCTTTTTTTCTCTTTATTTCCTTCATAATTTTCTCTTGTTTATCAATTTATTTGCACTATAGGTGTGTTAGTCTGTCTCGATGGATGGCCTACCTATAGATGAGCCTCTCTCTCTCTCTCTCTCTCTCTCTCTCTCTCTCTCTCTCAAGCACGTTCTAGGCTTCATCTATCTCAGTCTTAGTTATGAAGTAAAGTAAAGGAATTTATGATAGCTGGAGAAGTCATTTAACTCGGTTGGTGAAGTCATTTAACCCGGTTGGTGAAGTCATTTAAACTGGCTCATGAAGTCATTTAAACCGTCTGGTGAAGTCATTTAAACCAAATGAAGTCATTTAAACCAGTTGAAGTCAGTTAAACCGTCTAGTTAAGTCATTTAAAACAAAACACTCCTCGACTGCCTTAACTTCTTTAAACTGTTTTAGCTACGTACACATTCACAGCTGGGTGGACTAGGGGGTGATGGGGTGGGTGGGTGCTGCCCTAAGTTCAAACCAGTGACACCTTAAGAACAGCAGGAAGTGAGCGCTGTATACACTCAGCCACCGCCCCCCCCCCCTTCCCCTATAGGCTGACTTATGCTGTTGCTAAAATAAGAAAGAAAAACAAAAGAAAATGAAGAAATAGTCTTAGCAATTTACAACATGTGGCTCCTCCTCTCTCCTTCCTTCCCTCTCCTTCCTCCCTTCCTCTCCCTCCCTCCCACCCTCCTTCCCTCTCCCTCCTTCCCTCCCTCCTTCCCCTTCCCTCCCTCCCCTTCCCCTCTCCTCCCACAAGCCTAAAACTTTAAGACGCAAAACAGTGATTTGTAAGCAGGTTCGATATTCAATAAGCGGCATTATGAAAGTTTACCTCCGTCACCTGCTACGCCCTTATGGATACAGCGAAATAGCGGAAAAAAAGATATCTACTCGTGAAAAAGGATATCTACTCGTGAAAAAAGGATATCTAATCGTGAAAAAGGATATCTACTCGTGAAAAAATATATCTACTCGTGAAAAAGGATATCTACTCGTGACAAAGGATATCTACTCGTGAAAAAGGGATACCTACTCGTGAAAAAGGATATCTACTCGTGAAAATATCCTAAATCCTAGAACAGGCTTATTATGTGCGCCAAAGTTTTCCCATAGCAAACTTCCGGCAATGTTCTCTAAGCGAGATATACAACTTTAAATGCCGAGATGATAATGGATTGAGGGAGATGTTGGTGGTGAAAAGTGCCTGTGGGAGAGGAAGAAGAGGGGAGTGGGGGTGAGGGGGAGGGTTTGAAGGAGGGGGTGTGGGGAGGATGAGAGAGAGAGAGAGGAGGAAGGGTTAGAGGGGAGGTGAGTGGGAAGAATGAGAGGGAGGTATATGAGAGGGAGGAAGGGGTGTGGGAGGATGAGAAGGGAGGAAGGTTAGAGGGGAGGGTATGATGAAGGGAGGAAGGGGTGTGGGGAGGATGAGAGAGAGGGGGGGGGGGTGAGCACTGGTCACTAATAACGTTCCTCCTTCACTCTAATAACCAGTAATCTTAACAACTTTCTCATGTTAACGTGAGTAAAGGCCACTTAGCACCCAGCCCTTCACACCAAGTTTACTCACCATTTTCCTCACCTTCTTTCCTCTCTTCCTCCTTTCTCTCCATTTTCTTTCTCCTTTCCTCCCTCCCTCCCTCTTCTTCCTCTCCATCTTCCCTACACTTTTTTCCACCCTCTCCAACACCACCTACCACCTCTTTCCGCACCTCTTCCCTCTCTCTCCTCCCCCTCTCCCTTCCTCCTTCCCACTTTCACTACATTCACTCTCCCTCTTTCCTCCCTCACCACTACCACCTCCCTCCCTCCCTCCTCCTTCTCGTTCACTTGAGGATCACCGCTCTGTACTTCACAACAACTTTGATTAACTCTGCCTTAACTCTGCTGGCGTTCTCACGAGCTCTAGCTGCATGTAGTCCTCTCCTGAATGAGCTATATACCTGTCTATAATGCTCTCTGGCTATATATACACACTTCAGTGATATAATACAGTTTTAGCTATATAATGTGTGCCAGTAATGTGCTCATTCCCTCTAGCTATACTGTATACACTCCTTTCTCTCATTTGGTCACTCCTTTCTCTCATTTGGTCACTCCTTTCTCTCATTTGGTCACTCCTTTCTGTCATTTGGTCACTCCTTTCTCTCTCATCTGTTCCCTCCTTTTTCTAATTTGGTCCCTCCTTTCTCTCCCATTTGGTCCCTCCTTTCTCTCCCATTTGGTCCCTCCTTTCTCTCATTTGGTCCCTCCTTTCTCTCTCATCTGTTCCCTCCTTTTTCTAATTTGGTCCCTCCTTTCTCTCCCATTTGGTCCCTCCCCTTTCTGTCTGTCCAGGGTTCACTACTCCGCTCCCTCTCTCCTTCATCGTCTTGTAATAGGGTCTGCCCTGTGTTTGTTGTGTACTGGATTTACATATTGAACACTGGCGCCTCTCCTCCTCCTGTCGTCCTCCGCCGCTAACTGGTCTCATCCATCGTCCTCCTCACCCTCTCGTCCCCCCTTAACCAACCAGTCCCTTTCCCCTACCCCTCCTTCTCCTGACGTTCCTCCACTAACCAACTAGTCCCTCTTCCTCCCCCTCCTGACGTTCCTCCATTAACCAAAAAACGTCTCTGTGCTCCTGCAGGCTGTGGTGGGTCCAGCTCTAGGCATCGTGGCTCTGGTATTCGCCGTCGCCTACGTCGTCAGAAAGTGTGAACGCTCAAGGTAAGTGTTTGCCTTCCTCTCTCGTCCAACAGTGTCGACACTTTGTATATTATATCGACCGACCTGACGCAAAGGATCCAGTGTTGACAGGTATTGTAGATTTTTTTTTTTTTTCACGAAGCTCACGCGTTTTGTGTGACGTGTAAACAAATGCCATTGAGGGTATGGAGACGTGTGTTGCCGCAAGTGTTCAAATGTTTGCTGTAAAATATGTAGAAAGGCGTCGTCATCCATTGTTGACTCTGATACTATAGTGAATGTTAGGTGTATAGTTCAGAGTCATGATGTTGATTTTGTACCTGATGTGCTGATGTTGATGACGAGTTGTACAGGTGAGTTTAACACACATCATCCAGTGACCTGATGCTGGTGTTCTCGTTATCGATGTTTACCTCTTGTTATTTTTGTTATGATTCCTTGGTGGTGTCAGCCGCCCAGGTTATTAATCAAACCCTTTAATATGTTAGCTGGTTTGTGGGTGGTAATCATAGTGTTTATCTTATATTACCTTTTAATTTAATTATTCTAATTATTAATATTTACATGTATGTTATTTAAGCCAAGACACTTTATTCGTCTGTATGTATGATCCAGTAATATTACTCGTTTTACAATGGTCAATAATCCAGTGATATTCCTCGTTTTACAATGGTCAATAATCCAGTGATATTCCTCGTTTTACAATGGTCAATAATCCAGTGATATTCCTCGTTTTACAATGGTCAATAATCCAGTGATATTCATCGTTTTACAATGGTCAATAATCCAGTGATATTCCTCGTTTTACAATGGTCAATAATCCAGTGATATTCCTCGTTTTACAATGGTCAATAATCCAGTGATATTCCTCGTTTTACAATGGTCAATAATCCAGTGATATTCCTCGTTTTACAATGGTCAATAATCCAGTGATATTCATCGTTTTACAATGGTCAATAATCCAGTGATATTTCTCATTCCATAATGGTCTTTCAAAGGTCCAAGTTGCCTCCATTATCGCCCAGATTTCCTCGTTCATTCACATTTTTTTTTCATAAAGTTTCAATAAAAAAAACAGACAAAAGGCAAAAAGACTTAAACCTGCGCTCTCTTTAAGGTTCGATTGGGTTACTATTACTAACAAAACTCTACACTTTAGGGGCGATCTAAAAAAATATTACCCAGAGTTATGTGGTAATTTATTTTGAAGTCTGGCGGGTGTTTTATTTTCATTACTCCCGCTGTTTTTTTTTGTTTTTTTTTAATGCGTCTAATGAAAAGCTTTGGACAAGTGTTAAAGCTTTAGACAGGTGTTAATGCTTACGTGTGTTTTTTATTGACATTGTGTAGGTGGTGGGATCGTGTGAATGGTGTTTGTTGTTTGGGTGTTTGGGTGTTTGATTGCTTTTTGTTCTGAAATTGTTGAAGCTGGCCGGTAGTGCTTTCCAGATTGTCAATAATTACCTGCAAACATGTCCTGAAGTGTTGATGTTCAGTGCATGTCCCAGTGTTCAGTGCATGTCCAAGAGTACAGTGCGAGTCCCAGTATTCAGTGCACATTTCCCGAAGACTTTAGTGTGTAGCCTGAAGACTTGATATTTTAATGCATGTCCCAAAGATGTTCTCCCCTCCCTCCCCCACAGGTAACGTTAAGGTGTGTAATCATCGAGTAAAATAAGATGGCGGTGTAGGGAGGTTAATCTTCGTGTATTCTCGTTATTCCCTTCTATGCCTTGATGGTGAAAAGGGAGATAAAGAAGAAGAAGAAGAAAAAAGAATCCTCACTATACATCTAGATTTAACCTTCATCCTCTCCATTAATATTTAAAACACAAGGGGGCTCTTCAACTCGTTTAGTCTGGAGAAAGAAATATATATATTTGTTTGTGGTATGGACGAGGGATTTTATAAGTTCTCACGCTAGGAAAACAAAATATTGGGTATTTTTTGGCGTTAGTGGTTGTAGATATTGTTGTTTTTATGAGTCTCTTGTGTAAGTGGGATATGAGCTTGAACGTGTGAGAAGCATAACGTGGGAGGGAGAGAGAGAGAGAGAGAGAGAGAGAGAGAGAGAGAGAGAGAGAGAGAGAGAGAGAGAGAGAGAGAGGTAGTTTTAAAGGTCTTGTAACGTTAACCCTGTATAGAAAACGTTTGTGTACAGTAAGTTTCAGTTTTAACCCGGAGGAAACGTTTATAGAATCTTGTTTTTGTAGTGAAGTGCGAACGTTTGATAAATAAATCAACTAGAGGGTAAATATTCATAGATTCTTATACGTCAGCGAATAACGAATACGAAAAATAATCCCCACTTATGAAAAACGTTCGTATAGACGTTTCTGTTGGTGACTTACAAACGTTTTTCCAACTTTTGTAAACAGACGTCAATTCTCACGTTAACTACCTAGATCCTAGTTAGAATATTTAGGAAACGATTAATAGCTAATGTTGTCCAAGGGAGACAGGAAGGAGTGTCCTAGCACCCAGTATACAAAGGAGGTGGAGTTGTAAGGGGAAGGAAGAGGCGGCCTCCACGTGTCGTCTCAGCCCCTCCCGTGTGCCCTTAACCGTGAGAGATTTATGACTGGTGTTTTTGTGAAGTAGTTTACCAAGATTTTTCCAGCCCATGAAACACAACCTCCACTCTGGTCTGAGGAAGGAAGGAAGGAAGGAAGGAAGGAAGGAAGGATGGATGGATGGATGGATGGATGGAAGGGAGGAAGGAGAGAGGGAGGGGGGGTGGGAGGGTGGGTGTATCTGTCTTATGATGTGTAGGTATAGGTTTACACTCACACACACACACATACACACACACTCACACTCACACACACTCACACACACACTCACACTCACACACTCACACACACACACACTCACACTCACACACACTCACACACACGCACTTAGTCTCAACTCCCTGCATCACTCACTACCCTCCGGATCTCCTCCACTGACAACTGAACTACACCCCATTGGTAAAGCATGGGATGGCTCTCACAACTGCTGCGCCACTACCATAAAACCAATGGGCCAACTTCCCTTCTACCACCATCCCCCCTCTTCCCCTCTTTCCCCTCACGCTTCCCCCTCCCCTCACAGCTGGTGTAGTTTACGCTATGGACCTATTCTACCCACCTATCTATCCATCTGTCTATCCACCTTGCACAATGAGTGGGTGGATGAGTGGGAGGAGGGGAGAGAGGGAGAGACGAGGGAGGGGGAGAGGAGGGGAAGGAAGGTAATGGTAGGGGAAGAGAAGCAAATCAGGGTGGAGGACTGGGGGAAGGAAAACAGGTAGAGAAGAGGAAGGAAAGTGGGAGGGAAGGAGGGGAAGGAAAACACGGGGAGTGAGAATGAGACGAATGAAGGAGAGAGAGAGAGAGAGAGAGAGAGAGAGAGAGAGAGAGAGAGAGAGAGAGAGAGTCGAAGATGAAACTGTTAGCATCATCAAAGACACCACTTTCTCACGGCTGCTGGTGTGTGTGTGTTTGGTCCAAAGTCTGACAAACTCGAGAGGAAAGGCGAGACAGCTGGAGTCACTTTGCATGATGATGATGATGATGATGGTGGTGATGATGGTTCTTGACAGCTCCATGCAGAATCCCAGACTTTTAGATGTTGCAGAGAGAGAATTTAACTCCCTTTGGTACGAGGACTTAATCCCTTGCATGCAAATTCGTCGTACCCGAGGGAATAAGTTATCGTATACAGATGTTAAAGATATCGTACCCGAGGGAATAAGTTATCGTATACAGATGTTAAAGATATCGTACACGGGGAACAAGTTATCGTATACAGATGTTAAAGATATCGTACACGGGGAACAAGTTATCGTATACAGATGTTAAAGATATCGTGCACAGGGAACAAGTTATCGTATACAGATGTTAAAGATATCGTACACAGGGAATAAGTTATCGTATACAGATGTTAAAGATATCGTACACGGGGAACAAGTTATCGTATACAGATGTTAAAGATATCGTACACGGGGAACAAGTTATCGTATACAGATGTTAAAGATATCGTACACAGGGAACAAGTTATCGTATACAGATGTTAAAGATATCGTACACGGGGGAATAAGTTATCGCATACAAGGGCGAAATCATCATCATATACAAGAGATAGGAAGATAGCTGATATACTAAAGCTGTATCCACCTTTCTCATCTACAGGTAAATAAAATCTATGTACCGAAATAAACAAACAATGTACTGGAAATACTTT